CCTGGGAGGAAACCTCTCCTCCTCCTCCTCCTCCTGCACATCCCTGTGGCTGGTGGGCTCAGCTGGCGAGGGGGCTCCTGGCAGCCTTCAGCCATCCATGCCTCTGATCCAAGCAGACAGATGATGTTTCCAGGGAGCGTGTGCTCACAGGCTCTGTGCTGTGTTCTGCTCCCTCCCATCCCCACTCTGGTCAAAGAGGGATGGCCCCAGGTTCCAGGGTGAGTTTCCTCCCTTCTGCCATCCAGCGTCACGGTTCCTCTGTGCTAAGTTGAGGATGCTCCATGATGATGATGTTAGAAGCTGGTGCAGGGCCTGGAGCACAGTGTGATGGGGAAGGGCTGAGGGACCTGGGGGGTTCAGTGTGGGGAAGAGAAGGCTCAGGGGGGACCTGATGGCTGCCTCCAACTGCCTGACAGGAGGATGGAGCCAGGAGGGGCTGGGCTCTGCTCCCAAGGAACAAGGGATGGGACAAGAGGAACCGGCCTCAAGCTGCACCAGGGCAGGTTTAGATGGAGCTGAGGAACAATTCCTGCCCCAGAGGGTGCTCAGGCATTGGAACAGGCTGCCCAGGGCAGGGCTGCAGGCACCGTCCCTGCAAGTGTTCACACAGTGTGGAGACGAGGCCTCAGTGCCATGGGTCAGGGGTGGCCTTGGCAGTGCTGGGGTAAGGGTTGGACTGGATGGGATTAAAGGGCTTTCCCAGGCTGGTTCATTCCATGACTCCGTATGCTCTGGGCAGGGCTGTCACAGTCATGCTGATGCACTGACCTCGTGTTTGACCCAGAAGCTAACACCCGAGAGCTGAGGTTCTCATGAACGGGGAAACCGGGGCCCTTGGTGTGAGCCCTGGTTCACGCCGAGAGCCCCACATCCCTCCCTGGGCACTGACACCGAGCCCCTTTCAGAGCTGGGACGCGGAGCTGGAGGCCTTTGCTCAGGCCTATGCAGAGAAGTGCATCTGGGACCACAACAAGGAGAGGGGCCGCCGGGGGGAAAACCTCTTTGCGATGGCCCCAATCCTGGACCTGGAATTCGCTGTGGAAGACTGGAACGGGGAGGAGAAATACTACAACTTGTCATCTTCCACGTGTGTCCCCGGGCAGATGTGTGGCCACTACACCCAGGTACCGGGCTGCAGGGTGGAGGGATGGGGCTGTTGGGCTCCCAAAGCCTTTGGAAAGGGATGGGGAGCCAGGGAGGAATCATAATGGTACAAGGGACCTGGGCATGGTCCATGACCAGCCTTTCGGAGAAGAGCTTTGTTTAAACAAGCTCTGCAGCAATTTTTGGGCTACCCAGACCTGGGCACCAGCTGGTCTTGGGCAGAGATACGAGGTTTCAGAGCTGGGTAGGAGCAAGGAGGAGCAGAGCTGGTGCTGCTAAGTATGGATGTAGAGAGGGTTCCAGGACCAAAGTAGAGATGGGGATGCTCTACCTGGCTAGACAATACAGTAGGAAAGCTGTGGTGCTTGGATATACAACCTGCTGCCCCAGGGTGGTCCAGACAAGGGCGAGAGAGAGGATCCTGAATGCTAAAGTAAGGAGGGGATGTGGGGCACACATTAGGGGATGAGGGGGACATTGGTGCAATGATAGAGCAGTGCCAAGGGACAGGTCACCAACAGAGCACCATTTTAAACTGAAACAGGGGAGGTTCAGGTTGGAGATAAGGCAGAAGCTCTTCCCTGTGAGGGTGCTGAGGCGCTGGCACAGGGTGCCCAGAGAAGCTGTGGCTGCCCCATCCCTGGCAGTGCTCAAGGCCAGGTTGGACACAGGGGCTTGGAGCAAGCTGCTCCAGTGGAAGGGGTCCCTCCCCGTGGCAGGGGTTGGAGCTGGAGGAGCTTTAAGGTCCCTTCAACCCAACCCAGTCCATGTCTCTATGATTCCATCTGCCTCCACCCAAGCACCTCACCCTCAGCCCTGTCTCTGCCTCAGGTGGTGTGGGCCAGCACGCACCAGATCGGCTGCGGAGCAAAGTTCTGTGAGAAGATCGATGGGATCGATGCTGAGGGCATGCACCTGCTCGTCTGCAACTATTACCCCCCGTAAGTCCCCCTCCTCCCGGGGCCGCTGCGTCTCGGTGGGGTTTCAGTGCTGGAGATGTCCTTCCTTCAGCCCTTGCAGCAGGGCAAAGCGATCCCTGGAAAGGTCTCCATTACCTTGGCTCGGTCACCAAGGCAGGAAGGGTTTCCTGGTGATCCCTGCCCGTGACTGCCGCTGCTGAGGTCTGGGTCAGCTCCTGGCACACACCTGGGGGGGGGTTACCCCAAAGAGCTCCCCAGGGCTGATGTTGCGGTAGGTGAGGCTCAAACAGCCGCTCCCTGCGCCGTGCCTCGCTCTTCCCCACCGGCAGCAGGGGTCACCTTGGATGGAGATGCCCATTTGCACCATCAGAAACGGTTGGACATGGGAGGAGAGGTGGGTGCCTGCTTGCAAAGCCCTGGGACCAGCCTTGGGGACCACTTGCTTGGAGCTGATGACACCAACAAGAGCAGTTGGTTCCTGCAGGGCTTCAGGGGTCTTGAGCAGAAGGGAGACAAAATCTCATCTCCAGATGCCCATCTCCTGCTCTGTTCTAGGGGTGATGAAGGATCTGCTCCATGGAGCTGCCTCCACGGCTTCAGCAGCCTTGGTGCAAGGCTGTTGAGCAAACGGCACTGACAGTGTGGCAGGAGACCAAGACCTGGCTTTCACATTAGTCCTGAGTTTTGCCTTGGCTGGGATATTCCACTTGGAGCAGACCCCTCCTCTGGGATGGGTGTTTCCCCCTCCGCTCACACTTCTTTTTCCTGGCAGGGGTAATATGAAAGGCCGAAAGCCCTACAGGGCAGGACCCTCATGTTCACAGTGTCCCGAGGGCAGAGTCTGCGTCAACTCCTTGTGTGGTAGGTGAAGAGAAGCGGCGCGTGTGGGACCGGGACCCCCGCATTGGGGTCCAGGCTCGGAACACTGCTGGAGCCATTGGGAAGCCCTGGAGCAGCAGTTCCAGGGCTGGACCATGGGACACGAGGTGTGCTGGCAGCCTGTCCTTGAGGACGAGGACCTGCAGCCCCCTCAGGCAGCAATCCCTGCCCTGTGAGGATGCCCCTTGGGGAGCAGGGAGCGGTGGGAGGGGGGTGAGAGGTCTCCAGGCTGGGAGCCCAGGGGTGGGACAGCCCCATTGACCAGAGAGGGGTCGGCTGCTGCTCCAGCCCCGCTGGGTCCTGCTGGCCCCGCTCAGCACAGGGCTCTGCTGAGGGAGGCGACTGCAGCCCTAACCCCTGCACCTCTCATCTCTTACCAGAGCCCACTGTAGAAGAGAGCACTCCAGCCCCTGTGACAGCAAAGGCAAGGCCCTCCACCCCAACCGCTGCCATGCCAAAACCCACAGCCACAGCCAGACCAGCACCCACCACAGCCAGACCAGCACCCACCACAGCCAAACCAGCACTCACAACACCAGCACCCACCACAGCCAAACCAGCACTCACAACACCAGTACCCACTACAACCACAGCCAAACCAGCACCCACAACACCAGTAACCACTACAACCACAGCCAAACCAGCACTCACAACACCAGCACCCACCACAGCCAGACCAGCACTCACAACACCAGCACCCACTACAACCACAGCCGAACCAGCACTCACAACACCAGTACCCACTACAACCACAGCCGAACCAGCACTCACAACACCAGTAACCACTACAACCACAGCCAAACCAGCACCCACAACACCAGTAACCACTACAACCACAGCCAAACCAGCACTCACAACACCAGCACCCACCACAGCCAGACCAGCACTCACAACACCAGCACCCACTACAACCACAGCCGAACCAGCACTCACAACACCAGTACCCACTACAACCACAGCCGAACCAGCACTCACAACACCAGTAACCACTACAACCACAGCCAAACCAGCACCCACAACACCAGTAACCACTACAACCACAGCCAAACCAGCACTCGCAACACCAGCACCCACTACAACCACAGCCGAACCAGCACTCACAACACCAGTACCCACTACAACCACAGCCAAACCAGCACTCACAACACCAGTATCCACTACAACCACAGCCAAACCAGCACTCACAACACCAGTACCCACTACAACCACAGCCAAACCAGCACCCACCACAGCCAAACCAGCACCCACCACAGCCAGGCCAGCACCCACCACAGCCAGACCAGTACCCACCACAGCCAGACCAGCAATCACAATACCAGTACCCACTACAACCACAGCCAAACCAGCACGTCACAACACCAGTACCCACTACAACCACAGCCAAACCAGCACCCACAACACCAGTACCCACTACAACCACAGCCAAACCAGCACCAACCACAACCAAACCAGCACTCACAACACCAGTAACCACTACAACCACAGCCAAACCAGCACTCACAACACCAGTATCCACTACAACCACAGCCAAACCAGCACCCACAACACCAGTAACCACTACAACCACAGCCAAACCAGCACTCACAACACCAGTATCCACTACAACCACAGCCGAACCAGCACTCACAACGTCAGTACCCACTACAACCACAGCCAAACCAGCATCAATGACAACCAAACCAGCACTCACAACACCAGTACCCGGTACAACCACAGCCAAACCAGCACTCACGACACCAGTACCCACTACAATCATAGCCAGACCAGCACCCACCACAGCCAAACCAGCACTCACAACACCAGTACCCACTACAACCATTGCCAAACCAGCATCAATGACAACCAAACCAGCACTCACAACACCAGCACTCACCACAGCCAAACCAGCATCAACCACAACCAAACTAGCACCCACAGCGCCAGCACCCACCACAGCCAAACCAGCACCCAAAACACCAGTGCCCACCACAGCCAAACCAGAGCCCACCACAAGCAGAGCCAAGCTAGCACCCACAACACCAGTGCCCACCACAACCAAACCAGAGCCCACCACAAGCAAAGCCAAGCCAGCACCCACAACACCAGTGCCCACCACAACCACACTTCCAATCACCACCACGTTCCCAACCACAGCCCAGCCAAGCCCCACACCCCTAACCCCCATCACAACAGCCAAGCCAAAACCTGCCCCCACACTCCCAGTGCCAACCCCAGACAAGCCAAAACCCATGGCACCAGCAACCACCAGAGCCATAGCCGTGCCAGAGCCCACCATGCCAGCACCCACCGCCACTACTACCAAGCCAAAGGCCACCATGCTGACAACCACTGCACCAAAACCCACCACAGCTATGACCAAGCCAGCACTCACCACAGCCACCACTGCAGCCAAGCCAGCACCCACCACACCAACACCTACCACTACTACAGCCAAGCCAATACCTGCTGCTACAACATCAGCAAAGCCCAAACTCACCACCACCACCACACCGGCTTCTACCACAACAGCAAAGATGCAGCCAAACCCTACCACAACCACAAAGCCAGAACGCACTGAAACAGAAAGACCCACTCCTACTGAGGCAACTGGGCTATCTCTTTCCTTGGAGCCCACTTCACACTTGGGTTATGAAGCATCTCCAGAAGCAGAGGTAGACACTGGAGAGCCTGTTAGCCCCTTAACTACAGAGGATCCAGCCTTGTTAGAAAGCACGGGCACAGCCTTCAGCCCCAAATCAGTCCCAGAAACAAATCAAGGTCTCAAAGAGGATGGGAAGGAGAAATCGGCCTTTTCCAGCCCACCTCCATCCCTCAGCCAAATAGTTCCAGAGATCAAGTTAGGCTTCAACAAAGCTGAGCTCATAACCCCCTCAAAGGCAGTGCTCTTCAGCCCCGAAGAACCCACCTTCTTGCGCTTAACTTCATCTGCCAAAGACCAAAAAGGGCAGAGCCCTGCTTTCCAGAACTCCCTCTCAGGTAAGGGGATGGTGGAGTCTGTCCTGGCATGGACCCTCAGACGTTCCGTGATCCCCAAGCAGCATGGAGAATGCTTGGGAGGAGCCAGGTCCTCTGGATCCTCCTCTTGCACCAGCTCTTCCCCACTCTAACACTGAGAGGAGCCGGTTGGATGTCTCCTTCACACAGCATGGGTTTGTCTACAGCCTGCTCCCCACTAACCCACCAACCGCCCCACTGGATGGCTGCACTGCTGCCTCGCACCTCGCCTGCCTTGGTGCACGTCACCGATGGACCTGCATGAGAGGGAGCTCCTTTTTCTGTCCGCATCTCCCCCCCTAACTCCCCATTTTCTCCTCTCCCTCCAGCAGGAGCCCTGGACACCGAAGAACTGGAGGCAAGCTCTGACCAGGCAAGCGTGGATCAGCCCACGGCTGGAGCCCCCAGTACCTGCATGGGGCTTTCGCTCTTCCTCCTGCCCAGTGTCATCCTGGTGGGCTTTCTGCTTTGAATGGTCTTCCTCAGCTGTCCCTGCACCGGTCACCAAGGCTTTCTTCAGCACTGGTTGTTCCACAACCCTGGTAGGCTTGGGAGATGCCATAGACAGTACAGGTTGACACGCTCTCTTCTTATGCTGCCTTACCTGCTCCAGCCCCAGCGAGCCAAGGGCAGCTGGCAGTCCCATAGGAACCTGGTCCCCTTCTGAGGAGACCCAAGGGCAGGAGGGTGTCTGCCCTAGGGCTGATGACCTTGGATGCTTCTCCTTTCCTCTCAGCCAGCCTGGACTTGTGGTCCGTTTCCAAACGGAATGCGATGAGCTCTCCCACCACCCGTGTGGCTGGCCGGCCCTGCCGCACCGTGTCCCAGGGAAAGCAGAATGACTTGGAAACCCGAGTGGCACTGAGACATGGGCACTGCTGTTTGTCTGTACATGAGACATGGTGGTTGGGTTTGTCAGGATAAGCTCCCAGCACTCTTTGCTCCTCCTGATGTGTCTGTTTCAGTTCTGGAGAAGTTTCATCTCTTCCCTTCTTGTCCAAAAAGTGGCTTCTTCTTTTTTCCACAGGAAAGGATTTCTATTTCCTTCCTGGTTCTGCTACAGCTATGGCCAGTGCTACCCAAATGTTCTCCTTGCTCCTCCTCACACCGCTGCAGCCTTTGCCTCCTTCCTCTCTTCTGCTCTCTGCTGCATGTACCCATTCCACAGCCATGGAATCATGGAACCCCAGCCTGGTTTGTGTTGGAAGGGACCTTAAAGCCCACCCAGCTCCAACCATGGGCAGGGACCCCTTCCACTGGAGCAGCTTGCTCCAAGCCCCTGTGTCCAACCTGGCCTTGAGCACTGCCAGGGATGGGGCAGCCACAGCTTCTCTGGGCACCCTGTGCCAGCGCCTCAGCACCCTCACAGGGAAGAGCTTCTGCCTAAGAGCTCAGCTCAGTCTCCCCTCGGGCAGGTTCAAGCCATTCCCCTTGCCCTGTCCCTACAGGCCCTTGTCCCAAGCCCCTCTCCAGCTTTCCTGCAGCCCCATTAGGCACTGGAGCTGCTTCCTCTCTCCTAGTCCAGTGCCTTGACTGTTATACGCATGTGCCTGCACCTCTGTGCATGCACACAAGACAAACCTTCAGCACTAAAGAGTTATTGCTGGCTCCTCATAGAGCTTCCTTCTGCATGGCTTCCTTCTGTGCGTAACTGAAGTGTATTTGAATTCAGATACAGATCCTGGTTGACGTATAACTTGTGTGTGATGGAACTGGGTCCAGGAGAAATAAGTCAGCATGTGTGCTGGTGAAAACTGGAGCTCGAGAGAGCCAAGGGGATGATGACAGAGGTTACCAGTGGTTCCAGGACTTGCTGCAGGACCACTTTCACTGTTTGGGACACTGTGTTTTAGCCCCCCTCCATGTCCCTGTTCCCTTCACACTGAGTGTTAAATATGTGACAAGTCTTGCAGAGTGGTGGGAAGGGAATAGGAGACCCAGTCCCTTCTCTGGTCACTGCATCCTTTGCTTTCTTAAACAGATGAGGTGGAGAATGACCTGAAGGCCAATATTTGTGTCCTCCCCTCCAATGTTGTGTCCTGTGCATCCCCAGAGCATGCACTGAATAAACCCTGTGGTGAAAGGCTGTGAAGTGTCTCGCTGGGGGATCTGGAGGCCGGGGACCCTCTTATTCTATCACTGAAACACTCTCAGTCGTGAGCTTGGGCAGAATCACTCCTGGGGTGCTGCAGGGGTTTGGGTTTGGCGTTGTAAAAGCACCCAGGAGCCAGTTTTCACAAGGGGGCAACTTAATGCTTTGAAGCCTGTGTAAAAGCAGCAGGAGGAGGAGGCTGGGGATGCTGTAGGGAATGTTCCCCGAGTGCCCAGCTGAGGGCAAAGCAAAAACTGTCCCATGGGAATTTTGGGGCAAGGAAAGCAAAAGGAAGAGAGCTCAGAGTTAAAAAGTGGAAATCCAAGCTGCGGGTTCTGTTTGCCCAGCCTCTGCCACCCCCGAGCACAGTTTTTCATGTTTGCAGCAGGGACAGAAGTTACATGCGAGCGTGTGTCCCCAGTTTCCCTGTTCCTGCAGCACTTCCACTGCAGGACATCCCCAGCTGTGAGCAGCACCCTGGGAAAGGGCCTTGTAAGACTTCAACTCAGCGCCCAGGAGCGATGCTGGCACCAGGCCTTTGCTTTTGGCTTTTCCCCCCAGCTTTCCCTGGCCAGGCTGCCCTGCAGCTCCTCATTTCCCTTCTCCATGAAGCCCTGCAGCAGGAGCCCAGCAGCACCAGCTTCCCCGCAGGAAACCAGCTGCCTCCGGGGTTTCTTCGGGTCACGCTCGGTGCCAGCCCTGCGGAATGGGGACCAGCAGATGGCAGTGGGAGGGACACCGCTGAGAACTGGGCAGCTCGAACTCGAGCCGCAGAACCCTTCGGTGCTTCCCTGAATCCCGAGCATCAGATGTAGTTAAGAATCAGATGAGAAAGATAGTGGGGCTGCTCTCGATGCAGGCTGGGCTCCTGCTGTTGAGCTGCTTTCCAGGGTAAAGATCCAGCCTTGGGTTAAGGATGGATGAGAGGAATAGAGCCAAGGCAGCTGGTGTTTGCCTGATGTGAGGGGTGAGGGTTCAGGCAGGGATGGAGCGCTACAGGACCACAGCTGGTGAAGGAGAGCATAGCACAAACTCCCTATAAACGACAAAAGGAGCAGAAAAGCATTTCTCCTCCCAGCAAAGTCCGGGCATTTGGTCAACCCCTGATCTTTTGCCAGTGCTGGATCCCCCACCCTGCTGAGAGCCATCATGGGGCTGGGAGCAGCTGCATCAGCACAGCCCCATCAGCAGAATGCCAGGATTCCAACGTTGCACCATGATTGTGGGGCTCGTGAGCTTTGTGAAAACTCTTACCGTTTGGTTTCCATGAGGTTCCCATTTCTGGAGGCACGCGCCTGGGCAAGGACCTATTTATAGAGTTCCTTGTAACAGAAAATTCAGCCCCAGAAAGGAAATTCTCCTTTCCTCTTCCCCCTGCACACCCCAGTGGCGCTGAGCCCTGCCAGCACAGGCATTTGGGGAGCTTTGGGGTGCACAGGCTTTTGGGGTGCTAAATTAAGCGGGGTTAGGGAAGGACGGAAGATGACTGCATGGCGAGGGCAGGGTATGGTGTGGTGTGGTGCACAGGGGAGGACACAAAACATGCAAGGGACACTCCATTTTCTGGAGTTGGCATGAAGGATGTTCTGGTATTGGGGTGACCAGATAGAAAACTCCTCAGGGAAGGAGCCAATACCATAGCAAAGATGCTGCCAGATTCTGGCAGCCCCATGGCCACATATGATGGGAGGAAGAGAGGGTGTTAACCATCAGCTGTGGCCATTTGGGTTAACAGCAGGGGATTTATGGTGTTCATAAGGCCTGGCTCCTGCATCAACCCCACCTGCTTGGTTCTCCCCATCCCTGGGCCCTGTTTCCCAGCAGGGAGAGGGATATGCCTGGTGCTGCTTGAACGAGAGAGGTTGCTTGACTTTGGATGCTGATGCTTCCCCTGAATATGGTGACTTGGAAGGTTGGGGAAGCACATACCCCATCCTGAGGGGTTTCAGCTGGGGCTGTGATGCTGGCTGCCAAATTCCCTTGGAGTGTTTGGGTTGAAAACCCCTCTTTTTGCTAGAAGAAGGCACATAGCCCTGCTTGCCATTGTGGCTAGTGATGGCATTGCTGCCCCACCAAGCTGCGCTGTGGGATCCTGGCCAGTGAGTCTGGCTGTCCTATATATCCACAGTTACAAGCCTCCTGAGCCTCCTCCTGGGCAGAGGCTGCCCTTTCCCGTACACCAGGAAGCATTAGAGACAGTAAATATTGCCTTGGCTGGTTTCTGAGCTCCAGCTGTGCCTTAGTGGAGACAAGATGATGGGTTGGTGGAGCCTGAAGTTCCCATGTTCTCCTGTTGGTGGTATCTCTTATGAGCATGCTTACAGCAAGGACTACCTAAGGCAGAGAGAAGCCCAGCCTGCACCCATTGAGCTGACTGGGGATGAGGAAGAAGATTAGGGCTTCGCAACAGGATTTGGCTTGGCCCAGGAAAGCACCTACTGACAGCCAAAAATGAATGGTCTTAGCTGCTTGACCAACTCAATCCGTTCCACATCCTTATCGTGTCCCAGCTGTGGCTTCCCTTTCATGCTCAGGATCTTGGTCAAACAGAATCTAGTCAGTGACACAGTCAGGATGTCCCAGTTCACCAATCAAGCTCCCTTCAAGGCAGCCGAAAGATGCTGTTTTAAAGAAGTCAAACCAAGTTCATTTGCAGAAGAGAATCTCTCCAGTAATATTTTATTCATGGCTTCCAGCTCGCGCAGCTTCACCACTCGAGATTCCCTGCATGAGCATCAGTGCAATGGAGGGGACTGAACTGATTTCACCTGGGACACACAGGATTGGTTCTTATAGAATCATAGCATGTTTTGGGTTGGAAGGGATATTAAAACTCATGCAATTCCAACCCCCTGCCACAGGCAGGGACCCCTTCCACTGGAGCAGCTTGCTCCAAGCCCCTGTGTCCAACCTGGCCTTGAGCACTACCAGGGATGGGGCAGCCACAGCTTCTCTGGGCACCCTGTGCCAGCGCCTCAGCACCCTCACAGGGAAGAGCTTCTGCCTTAGATCCAACCTGAACTTCCCTGGTTTGAGTTTAAACACATTCCCTCTTGTTAAACATGAAGTGGATATGCTCTGTTCCCATGCTTCTGGTGCTATTTTGGTCCCTTCCAAGCAATTTGTGGGCAGGAGCCCTGCCCCTTAGCAAGCAGCTAGAGGATAATAATGCATCTGAGAGGACCAAGCTGTAGTTTTGCACAGCACGTCGCCAGGACTGTTGAAGAGCCAGATTTATGGAGTGAGGGCTGCATTCCTTCACCACTAGACACTGCGGCATCCCCACCCACCAGCTGCTGCCCAGCCTGAGCAAGTCCCATCCCAGCCTCGCCACAGCTACACCCTATCCCAGGAAGCAGAGGAGCCTTAACCAAGCTGCTTCGTTTCGGGGAGCCCCATGGCCCCAGCAGTCAGGTCTGGGTCCCCCTGTGTGTTTGCTCAGGGTCGAATTGGAGGGCTCCAGTTTCTTTTTGCAGGTCTCTTTCTCCCACTTCATCTGAGAAGGTGGCCTCTGCTTGCCCTCGCTCCCCGATGTCTCGGATCTCACCCGTCTCCATGGCAGTGAGATGGCAGTGATAATGGCCCGAGATGGCCTTCAGTCTTGAAGAACTGATGCAGCCCTGATCGTGTTACAGCTCCATCCTACTTGCTCTTGCATATAGCAGAGGGATAGTCCCATCTGCTCCTAAGAAAGAGAAGAAATAACAATTCCCTGCCCCCAGTCAAGTGCCAGAGCTCTGGAGCAGGCTGTCTGCTCATGTCTGTTGGCATACAACAGTACTACCTGCCTAGGAGAACCCAAAGGATTAGGACTTGCTCCCTTTGGCTTATATCTCTTCCTTACCTCTCTCCCCTCTAGGACAGGGTGTTAGTCTGAATCAGTGGCTTATCCTATGTAAGTACACAGGAGCCCTAATCTCCTCGCCAGGGTTTGTGTATTAGTGAGTTAGGTTGATATGGATTATCAAACCAGAAACAACCACCCTCTAACTCTATACCATGGGAAAGATGGGAACTTGTCCAAACCAGAATGCGCTTCCTGAGTGGGACCAACCAGCCAAATTGGATCGGCTCCCAAGGCTTTGAGTCTACAGGATAAGCATGCTCTTGGATCTAGTTTTTAACCCAGGCTTCAGAACTGGGTGCTCAGATCTATCCTCTTTGTACCAAAGCATCCACTCCCCCTCACACTTGAGGATAGACCAGAAAAGAGCAGCACATTTAAACCATTTACAGCTTGAACCCATCTCTGCAAAAAAAGAGCAGTACTGAACACCAGAAGCTGATGCACCAGCTCAAGTCGTTGTTTCTCTTGTACCCGTGAAACAGATTGATTTTGTGCAGGAGGGTGGCTCCGTACTCATGGCTGAAGCATGGAGAACGCAATCCTGGATGCTGTAAGAGAAGAGCCACTGGGCTGTTCAACAATGCTGTGCTGTGTTTTGGGACCCTCAACAGAGAGAAGTGATGCCTCAGGAGCAATGTGGCTGAGCCAGTCCTCGGGTGGTTTTGCTGCTCTTTAAGGAAGGCAATAGACTGTATAGTTATCACCTGAAATGGGATAAAATCCCTCCCACCAAACTATACAACCTACTACCTCACCTCCACAGAGCAGTACAGAGGTCTTGGCTGATGCACACCGTATCACTGGCTTTGCATTACTTGCACCACCTGCCTCCATGCTTGGTGTAGATGATGAGACCTGAAGACCTGACTGTCTCCTTAGGAAAGACAGTAGATTGTATAGTTAGCTCAAAGGGAGGACCGGACTCCACAACTATTCAATCTACTACCTCAGCCTCAAGGACAGCTTGGGACCACGGCACTCTCAGGCAGTGAGATGATCCTTATTCAGGTCTTGGCTACTCCGCAGCTCCTGTGGAGAGAAACGTGAAAATCCATCAGACTTCATGATGTTAGGGAAAGGAGTCTCATACCCAGCCTGTCCTGGAGCTCCCTTTCCTTCTTTGAAACCTCCTTCAGTCCGCTTGGGCTATCCTTTATCCTGGGCAATCACAAACTTTATGCACCCAAGGGCTTACGGAAGCGGCAGCCCTCCCCTTTGAACCCAGGGCCATACCTGCAGATAGCAGAGCTCTCCTGGAACAGCAGTGATGCCAAGTAACATACAGCCAGGCTGACCTCACCTCTTGAACACACACTGTATCTAGAACAAACCTGCCAGCCCAGATAAGAGAATCCATCCATTTAGCTGCTATGCACTCCAGGGAATTGGGCGGATTAGAAATAACTGACTACAAGGAAGCTTTTAGGCTGCAGATGTAATGGTATCGAGCACATCAAGGCAGATCTCATTTCCTAAACAAATGAGTGCAACATGCAGGCTTGGTGTCCCTTTAATGCTATAGCACAGCCAGGCAGTATTAGCATGGATCTGAGACAGACTGGCTAACCCCCAAGCCCTTGGCTCACCTTCTGAGACTTTCTCATTCTCTGTACACCCAAATACAGAAGCAAGGTACTAAGCTGGTAGTTTAAAAAGCTTCTTTGCCATGAGAAATCATTCCCTTGGAGATGAAAGCAAGCCATAATGAAAAGGGAGCCACATGCAGCACATCACGCGGGCTGTGTGTGCAGCACAATGGAGCCCCAAAGGAGGACTTCCCCAGGAGCTCAGCAGGAGGTGGCCCCAGGCTCTCTGAGCATCTGCTGAGTGCTGTGGTGGGACAGGCAGGTGCTAAGGCACAAGTCCCCAAGGAGACCGAGGCTGCCTGATGCTTTGTGCTTCCCCAGCCAACAGGCAACAGGCTGAATAAGTGACATTCCCCAAGGTCTGGTGAGCTGTGGTAGCTGAGATCCTCGAGGTGACAGTTCCGGATGGCTGGGGTAGGAGGGTATCTGTGCAGCGAGGTTTGGGAAGCGCCCCTGTTCCTTTGCAGGGCTCTCTGAAGTCCTTCTCACTGGTGTTCAACACGGTCCAGGTAATTCTCTTAATTTCCTTTGACAAACCCAGCCTTCACAAGGGTGGCCTACTGTGCCAGGCCATCTGGTCCAGGCCTCTCCCAGTGTGACAGGGTATAAACAGCATCAAAAAATCAATGTTGCAGGACTGATTCCTACAGCATTTAAGTACCCAGCCCATCCACAGTGCCAAGTACCTTGCATCCCAAACAGCCTTCTGATGGGAAGTATTACTCTTGCTATTTTACTGGCATAAAAAATGATGCACAGAGGCTGTACATCCCTCGGTAGCACGTACAACATCAAGATTAGACAGCCTAAAGGTCCATCCAGTGTGCCACAGACCCCTCTGCCTCACCAGGGACACAAGAATGAGTTTAGACTGAAGTGTTTCAGCTTTCCAAGAATTAAGCTAGTGTCACAGGCCTGAGCCAGAAGGGACCATGGTGGCAAGAGAGCCCATGATCGCTGCCATGGCAGAGGACTGGGGATGTGGATGGTCTGGATCACATTGGGTGATGCAGGAAATCATCATCTCCAAAGAGACTTGTGGCACCTGACCTGGAGGAACAATTTTTCCTGATTGCCAGTCTGGTGGCTTATATTATTTTAAACATAGAAGATATATAGGCCAGGCATTTGAAAGGTCACTCTTGCTACCATTGCAGAGAAGAGGTGTTTGGGCCAACCTCAAACTGAGGGTGGGAAATTACATTAAATAACTCCTAGTTTCCATAGACCTAATTATACATGGAGAGGCAAAAAAAGGAAATCCCTTCTGACTTCGATCAGTAATCCTGAAAACAGGAGGTTTAATTATAATAATTGTCTTAATGAGTCTAGGTTTGGGGAATACCCGGCTGCTGACTTTGCAATCCTGATCTTGCCAGGATCTGTGAACAAAGGAGTCACACAGGAGGATTTAGGTATACTACACCTGGTAAGGATCCCTACAACCATCCTAGCCTTAGCTTCGCTGTCACTCTTGTTCGTGCTACGTGCTGTACCAATTGCAGTGACAGCAAGCCCCTCTCCTGATGGTTTGAGGTCGACACCATCAAGACACAGGATAGGGAAAGAAAGAGAAGCAGAGAGGTGAGCAAATCTATCTAAGATCATAAAGAAAGTCCATGGGAAAGCTGACGCTGGATCCAGCCTTGGGAAGCCCTGCTCCAGTCTCTGGTCATAATGCCAGGGCAATGGTTTGCCTGGGGCAGCCTTAACCATGTGAGGCCAGGTTGATGTCCATGTCCCCCAACTGTCTTTGATGGAGACGTTAAAGACGATGTTCTGTTTCAATATCTGCAGGAGAATCACAGATCCTGGGAGAGCCGTTCTCGCACACATTCTGGATAACAGCTCAATGAGGCGCATTATGAATTAGTCATATATCCGTGCAACCATCAGATTTGTGCAAACTCCTTCTCTACAGAGATTCCCTGCACAAATCCCATGGCAATCACCAAGGAGAGCTGCATTCCAGCTCTGCCCTGCTTGCCAGACACAAAGCCTTCCCTTCTAGCCTATCTCTGCTGAAGCACTGGATTTACAAGTGCCTGAATGTGATGCAGCGATGGAAACCGCTGGGTAGAACAGCCAAGAGGGGCTGTAGGAGGCGGAAGCCTACACCCCAAAGCTTCTCACTGCCTTCTAAGTTATTTAAGCCCAGGTTTTGAAGATCTTTGGATACTTGACTGCTGAGAACAAGGATGTGTTTTAAATCCACCATTTTCTGGGTAGACCCTAAGGCAGTGGCACTGCCCTTTGCCCCTTGCAGATTCACACGAATCCGTCAAACTTCACCAAATGTGATTTTTGTGAAAAAGAACTGAAGTCTGCAAGGAACTTGAGGGAGGTCCCTGTGCTCAATGTGCCGCAGCACAGTCCTAATGCACAGAGCCTCTTAGAGCGGTGAGGCACATTGGCAGGTCAAGGATGAGTATGCTTCTTCACAGCAAGATGCTCCGGGCTGGCAGAAAAGTCATTTCCAATGAGGTTTCAGACCCATTTTGGGGAGGAAAAGGTGATCTGACTGTCCTTCAGTCAGCAGGGGGGCTCAGGATGACAGCCCATTGACCCAAGTGGTGTCCCCCACGGTTCAAAGCATCTCCACACCAGAGATGCTCGAGCACGGGCAAGTCTCTGCCTTTAGAACAGGGCTGCCTTGGAGAGGAGCTGAAAAGGCTCCGGAGCTTGGAGGAGCTGATCTGGTTTATTAAGAAGCACTGAATGAAATGGAGGAGGAGGGGGAGGAGGCAACCATAAAACAGCAGTCGCTCCCTTAACAAGCAGACACTGCTTTCAGCCTTTGTATAGCCACGGCCCCGCGCATCGGTGCGAAAACATGCTGGGGACAGGCAGGGCTTCCCAGCAGGAAACCAGGGCCCTGAGCCGCCGAGAGTTTTTCCAGCCTCATGGAGCATGGGAGGACTGGGGCAGAACCAGCCCGGCCAAGGCGAAGCCTGCATGGGCACAAAATGGCTGCCTGTCGGCCATTTTGTTTCCTCAGCTCAGCCTGTGGGGAGGCCGGTGGTGACTCCCTGGCCTCCACTCACCGCTCCACCGGAGTGGGTAAATTCAAAGCAAAACAGCCAAAAAACCCCACCCCAAACGAAACGAACCCCAAAATAAGTGAAACCAAACAGGCGCGGGGAAGGTTTCCAACAGCTTCCCAGTGCCGCCGCGGTGTGCGGCTGCACAGAGCAGTGCTCAGAGCCGCGCGGCTGCGAGAAACCCGCTCACCGAAAACACAGCAAACAGCCCCAAAACCCCATCCTGAGCACACCCGCGCCGCTGGAAAGGCACCAAATGACATCTGCCAGCCTGGCCACGGGGACAAACCGCTTCTAACTCCTCACAGGCCGGGCGGACCGGTCCTTCCAGACCCCGCATCCTGGGGCCGATATGGAAATATCACGATGCAAAAGAGTTATCCATAGGGAAAGGGAAAGAGAGGTCAAAACGTTTGAAGTACATTCCTGCAATAGCCTCAGCAATGCTTTCCCTCCGTGCTCTTTTCATGACGTAGGTAGTATTCCGTATCAACGTTGTCATAGCATTTAAGCATTTACTATAAAGCAATTAGCAAGTATCTTAATAAATAGCCACTCATCTGTTTGGGGTTGTCTTGAGTCCTGTCAGGTATTTATAAACATCTGGATCGTCATTAGCGAATCTGGTATTATCATGTATAATACAGGTGTCGGTAACCTGCTTGTTATGTGGCTTATCCTTTATTAACCCGTCATAAATCCATTACGAAGGTGGCCACAAAGGTAGCATTTGTTTTTCTAAATGTTCATGTATTTTCCTTGTAAATTAGCAGAGAATTTATACTCCCGAGGGAAAAAAATTCCGAGAATTTTTGCCATAAAACGGGTGCTACTGCTATTTCATAGTGCGATCTTTCTAAAATACTGAAAAATATCCAAAAATACTAAAAATCAAGAGATGTAAGAGAAAAAAAATATCTTCCTGCTTTAACTGTACCTGCTCCATCCTCAATTCTGTACATTAAAAACCCAAAGAAAGAAGATCCTTTCCTATAACCCTCTATAAAGCTCCTCCATGAATCCTGTTTCCTGCTCGATGCTCAGCTCCGAAGTTGCCCACAAAAGGTGCAGTTAACGTCCACCCCTGCCGCAGCTTTGGACCCAAACCCTTGGATTTGCCATGCGGACCGCCCGCCCAGCGCCCACACATGCAGCCCTGGCTCCGGGACCACCGCCGCCCATGCAGTCCTCCACATTGTCAAGGTAAAGCAGCCACGGAAGCAAATACCTTTCTATGCGAGAACAGCGATTTCACCTCTTGCTGCTCCCAGCTCCTCTCTGCGAGCGTCCGCTCCTCTCCCGATGGCTGGGCAGCCCCCCAGGGGAAGGCAGGGCGATGGCTCCAACAGCGATGCCTGAGCAGAGCCCGATCCCACCCGTGCCACTGGACTGAGATCCGAATGGCTGCGGACGAAGAGACGTGGCCACTACCTCCAAGACATCCAGGCTATGGCAGGAAACGCAGATTCACTTGAAAAAAACCAAACACCAAATCACTTTTATTTTGGCACTTTCGGTGGTATTTTTGCCACGTTTCTGCTCAAAATTCTATGGTAACAGCACCAAGTTCCCTTAAACTTTTCGAGGCATGTTACTGTTGATGGCGTCTCTGTCGTGTATCACACCTTAACGTGTGCAGGATACACAGGCTGGTGCAGTAAACAGCTTGTGAACACAGTTCAGCTCCATCCCCGTGAGAAAAGCGAGGGCTTAAAAAAAAAAGAAAAAAAAAAAAAGCCAGGAACAGCTCTTTCTTTTAACATTTAAATTAAGATTTTGTATTCCTGAGAGGAAAACTTTCAAGGCAAGAAGGCAATAAACAAAAGAGAAATGGCTACAGAAAACCAAGCCGATCCTCCGGATCACATCAGTTAAATCCAGGTCGGTGGGAAGGTCGGGTATCAGAGTCACCAACAGCAAGAGGACACACAACAGGTTAAAACGCTACCGTCCGGCACTGACCAGCTCTAATCATACCAAGCCGATGTGTAAAGCCATCCGCCCGTCCAAAAGCAAATGAGACAACAGTGCTCTCTGGTACTTTATAAACACAGAAGAAAGGAGGGCTGTTTTATTGAATATAGCGAACAAACCTTTCCGTCCGGCTATACCGTGCAGCCCTGCGACGCTGCAGGCACCGGGTAGCCGTTACGCTGCTAGTACAAAAGCTCAGTTTGGCAATTCCAGGCATTTTCAGTGCTCAACATACGCCAAAACTACCCACTCTCTGCCTCTGACTTTGGTCTCGTTCCAAAAGGTCCTTTTTTTCTCTCTCTCTCGCTTTTTTTTTTCCCCTCTCTCACTACAGCCGGTGCCACGTAGAGACGGGAGAGTTGGGCTCCAAAAAAGAGCCAAGTCCCAGCGTCCTGGCTTCCCCCTTTCCAGACGGAAAACAAAATGGCCATGCAGCAGCCATTTTGTTTGCTGCGGGATGGGAGGGAGAAGGGAAGGGAGGGGAGGCGCAGGCCAGGCGGGAGCGCGTGGGAAGGACGAGGGGGGGAGAAGGGAGGGAGAGGGGAGGGCGTCGATTCGGCAGGAACCCAAAAGCTCGGCGGCGATGCCCGGGCGCGTCCTGCCTTCCTCCCGCCGGCCATGCGGAGGGATGGACGTGGGGCCGGGTTCGCCGGCTCTCCCAGGCCGGCTGAGCTCGAGCTGTGCGGCCTGACCGGGGTACGGCTCCTTGGGCAGGCCTGGCTGGCACCTCCCTGCTGCCCGCTGGCACTGACGGGCGCCCACACAGCAGGGCTGGGGCTCTGTGAGAGCTCCCGATGGGAGCCAGGCAGGAGAGCGGAAACCAACCGGGAACATCAAACTCCTGAACTTCCCCGGGCAGGAAACGGTGTAAATAACACCCGCGGGGAGGGGGAGAGGAACCCGGAGCAGGCGAGGAGGCCTTGGGGACAGCGGCTTGGCAGCAGCATGGCCTCGGCAATGCGGATCCCTCCGGCACCTGCGGTGAGGAGGGAGGAGTGATCGAGGTTTCCTCACTTGCTCCCATCCGGACAAGGCTGTGTCAGCAGCGGAGCCGCATGGCCGAGGCCTGTGCAGGCTCTGGGCTGCCCTGCAGCGATGTCTCTGCACTCCCAAGCGCTCCAGGCAGTGTGAGGCTGTGCAGCGATGGAGGACGGGGCTCCAGCCTGCTCAGCGCCTCCTGAGCTCCATGGCTTTCATCTTTCTGCCCTTCCACAAACCAACACCGCAATGACCCCTGCAGCCCACGGCCTGGGGACCAGGGAAGCATCACTCACCCCTCTTCTCCCCAGAGCACAGGGCTCAGCTCCGAGCTAGCAGCCTTCCTCAAGAAGCCAACAAGCTGCACAGATGAGCCCTACCCTCCGCTTTCAGGTGAAGTCCCTTCAAGTCCTGACCAAAACCGGTTTTATAGAGCAAGGCAAGCACCCTGTGACCTTGTGTGAGAGCAGCCAGCATAGGAAGACCCTTAGGAGCACACAAATCAAACACATCCTGGGCCTTCTGCTTCTGTAGAAGAGACAAGCGATGTAAATCAGGACTATTCCCAGGATTTAGGATGGGTGAGAGCTCCCAGCCTCAAGCCCTATCCCCTAAGGATGCAGGGAACTGGAAATGCCCAAACCTCGCATAGTTTTGAAGCTGTTACAGATCTTGCAGGAAAATCCTATGAGGAAGGTTGTTAATTGGACAAGGCACTTTGTGGCATATTCATGTGGGATAAATTTAAGCACTGGAGGTTGGACCTGCTAAGCTTTATCTCGTTAGATGTGAGGGCAGTTTCTCTGCAGAGTAATTCAGAGCAGAAACGTGATGCCAACAGCTTGAATTACCCTGTGAGGAAACCTAAAATCTGAAGCTGGTTTTAATAACCATTATTCCTCACCAACTTTCAGCAAAGTAACCTAAGATCTCCAGGTGAGAAACGTTATGGATTTATTGCTCAGCAATGGGCTGTGATGGATTAGTCTTCAAATGGCCCTGAAATCACGCATCACCCGTAGTAAACTCTATCAATGCCCGTCCTAATTTCTCACAGGGGCTTGGTGGGGATCCATGTGATCTTGGAGGTAGGTCTGTGCACTTCATACTAACCTTGTAGTGTGGGAATTTGGGAGTTATTTGAAAGCTCCAAATCTGGTTTGTTTTAATAGGATTTGGGAAGGCAAGGCTCACTTGAAAACTTTGCACTGAAAGGATATTGCATTTTCTTGTGCAATACTCTTCCAGGAAAAACAGCAAGGCAGCTTTGCAGAATGAAGTCCAAAGGGCTCTAGAGATGGCTGTAGCAATAGATCAAGCAATGGCCACATGCGGCATGTTAGCTTGAAACTAGGAATAAGAAACAAGTTCTGCTCTGAATATTCTCTTCTAGAAAAGCCCTGACAAACTGAGGAACTTTATTTTTATCCTTATTCTAAGTGAAAACTCGCTATGAACAAGGCAGGACAAGAGGCATTTGTAAGACAGGGTGTTTTGCCTTCCCCACTAACAGGGTCCCTAGATCTGCCAGGCTGTTCCTTCCTGGTGGGTCCTGAGATGCAGCAGCAGGGGTTAGGGACATACATGGGGCTGAAGATAATATCAGCACACCCAAAACTGCAGAAGGCCCCTCAGCACAAGCTTCTTGTTCAGTATATCTTAGTCAAATGGAGGTGTGCATGGCACGAAAGATGGGAATAAGAATAAACAAGAGGGCGTGTGTGCTTTGCAGGCTTAGTAGCATGGAGGAGAAGATACCTGACCACATAAAGAAGGGGAAGGAGATTGTGAATGCACAGGTTTTGTGCACCAAGGTTCCTGAGAGAGCTGAGATGGTTTGTGCTGGGAGAGGGAGGTGTGAATATGATCAAAACGCTGGAGCTCTACAAAGGACAAGGGAGGAGGTGCTGAGCAGGGGCATATTTCTGTAGCCTCCATTCTGGGCTTGGTAAACTGGGGGTAGCTTAAAATGTGGTCATGAAAGGAGTCCTTTCTCCAGGGCAGGCTGCTTGGAATTGCTGCTTTCTGCTTTCAGGTGCTGCTGCTGTGGCCTCACCAGAGGTCTCATTCAAGGCACACTCCCAACTTATGTTCAAGCCTCCAGTATTGTGAAGGGCAAAACTCATCTGAAAGCCACCAGCAGAGGACTGGTAAGGTACATGGGTCCACACTTAAGCCCCAGAGACACATTTGTCTTCCTCGGAGACAAATCATTGAATGCAGGAGTTGCTTCTCATTCTTCTATGCACATACACTTCCTGCCAAGGGTTGCTATTGCATAGCAGGTAGAGCAAAGCACGCTGTCTGACTTCAGATCAGAGCTGCAGGAGGAGAACAAGACTCCCATTCCTGGTCATGATCAGGACTCACAAGAAAGGGCCTGTGATGCTGTCATGAGTCTTGCAAACCGAAGAGCTCTATCCTTGTGCTTTAGCTCTGGTTTTGCCTACCACATTGTAAAGCTGTGGAAATCAGCTGCTCATCATCATGTGTTTGAGGTGGTGGACATCAGAGCTTCCCCTCTGGCTGTTTGCTGGAGTCTCTTCAGGTCTTACTCTTCCTATCTGTTCACATCCCAGTAAGCCCATACAAACACAGCCCCACTGTCACCTCTCACATGACCTCCCCACGCTGACCCTTTTGCTTCTGGTTCATGAAATTTAGAGTGGGTGAAAATGTAAGAAGCAAAGGGGGGTTACTCATTTGCTGGTGAGAAAAAAACTTCCCTTGTGAAGGAGGATAAACAGTCTTAGCTTTTTTCCCTTAGCTGGTGCGAGCATGTGGGTGAACTGAATTGCCTTTTCTGGGTACTTGGGTGGATTCTTCTCCAGGTTTGTTCAGTGGTACCATTCTCACTGTGCCTGAGCACTCTCTTGGGAGTCTTTTGGACTCCTCTATTCCTGTCTCAGGGGAGCTATGTACATAAGGCAGCAGCAGCAGCAACAACAAAATCACTTGGGAAGGGAAAAAAACAGAGTTAAACAGCCGCATTGCTGAGCTCCTGCATCCAATCTCAGTGAGTCACTTTGCCTCTGTTTCCTCCTTTGGGAGACAACCCTACATGGGATGCTGAGAAGGTTAATTAGTTAATACACTAATTAACCGAGTGTGCTTTGAACAAAGGGATCGCTTTAGGCACTAGCTCTCATGAAGGTCTAAGTCTAATACTGGTTTTAACAAGGTTTGGCCTCCACTTCTTACCAGCTGGGGTAGCTTGCCCTCAGCCAGAGAAAAGACTTGAACTTACATGCATTATTCATACTCTTGCCACAACATATCTGAAGCACAAATGGCCAGAGTCCATCCAAGCTCTTTCCTGCCTGCTTCTTCCACCAAGGATGAAGATGAAACTGGCTTTCTTCTCACAGACGCAGCTCTGAGGCCCCAGGCCAAGGAAACAAGAGAAAACCAAGCTAAGGCTCTGGCAGGATTGCTACTCAATGCCCAGCAGTCTGGCTCTGACCCGTATCCCACCTTGCTCTGGAGGACTGCACACACCCAAGGCAGCTTCTCCTCTCTCTTCCAGAAGATGGATGGAAGTAGAGAGTACTCTGCCTGCTGAAGTGAGAAGCATTTCGCTTTCCACATCACTGGGACCCATCCCAAACTGGATTTGAAGCTGCAGCTGCAACAAATCCTGCAAGCCAAACTGTTTTAGACTTTGGCCAGTCCTGAGCTCATCCAAAGACATGTCTATGGAAGCACCTGAATAGTGAAGCCAAACCCCATAGTGGAGGCTGTAACCTGGTTCTGAAAGGTTCCAACAAAGATGCAACCACTGGAGCTGATGAAGGTTGTTTGCCTTACTCAGGCATGAACCCAGCAATCCACCTAGATCCTGCACTTCATCAGGGTGCCAAAGGATACCCTTTAAGAGTGAGACTGTCCCCACGGGCTGGGCGGAAGAGAAATTGTGACAGTTTTGATTGCCCAGGGAACCGAGGTTGAGTTTGATTTCCAAATGTGAAACTAAATTCTCCTTCCACGTGAGTTCTGCGAGCTCAGAAACTGAGGGCTTAGCTGGGTTCCTCCCCAGCTGGAAAAGAAAACTCAAGGCATTGGCACCGCTGTTTCTTCTGTGTCACAGTTACACAATGCACAGGCCTAATCTACAGAAGCTGAAAATCATAACCAGGGAGACAAGAACCTCCAGTCTCTGCATCCCTCTCTCTGTCTACTCTGAGGTACTCTAGGCTGCCTTTTCAGAGCTGCATTTTCAGAACTGAGCTGCTGCTGAAAGCAGGCCCCCTAAAATAAGCAAGCTTAGTGAATGCTCCCACCTGCAGCAGCTGTGATGATGACACCAACAGGCACACTTCCACCACCCTTTTGGCTGAGCCCATCTGGAACTGTGGACATGTTTTCTACAGGAAGAGCTCTTACAAAACGCCTTTTCCAACACAGAACCTCTACGGATTCCTGCTTGCAGCCAAGTTTGACCACAGACACCATCATACAGATCCATCTCTCTTCCCTCTTTGTGGATGCAGAAATGCCTTGCAGAAACAGTACCAACATGTCAT